AGAGAGAGAGAGAGAGAGAGAGAGAGAGAGAGAGAGAGATTGAGATTTGGAGGCATGGTGAAGCATGGTGGGGTAGAGCCAGAGCAGATTGAAAAGACAGGAGCACTCAGAAGAGGCAGCAGGAGGTGAGGGTGAGCTAGGAAGGCAGAAGGAATAGGCAGCAGGGAATAAGAGCTCCTGGGGCTCTTGGGGAGGCTACAGGGGAATGGTGCTGAGAGCCCATGGGGTCAGGAAAAATGACCTGACTCACACCAGCCCCAGCTTCCTGGAATTGTACACAGCACCCATCTACCAAGATGCTCAGGAGACTTGGAGCCTGGGCCCTGTTAGTGTTGCCAAGGTTACCTGCTGAGCTGCTCCTGGAGCATCTGCAGCTCCTGGTCCTGTGCTCTCAGTAGCTGCTCCTGGCGTTGGGCCTGCTCCTCAGTCTGCCGGAGCCCATGCCTGAGGCCCTGGGGGACCAGAGGAGAAAGGGAGAGCTGCAGGAGGAGGGCAGAGACCCCAGCCCTGGGCTCACTGATGAGCTTCCCTATGAGGGTCCAACTACATCCCTGGGTGAAGGGCAGGATTAGGGACAGCGCTGTGAGCTGGGAGAGCCTGGTGTCATCATTTTTTTCTTTGCAGAAGGATGGAAATTGCTAAGCTTATGGTCCTGGAAGACTGGCTAGGAAGGAGGCTGAGGAAGAGTTTGGGAACTATCTTGGGAGACTTCTGGGAAAGGCATGTTCAAGAGTGACTAGTTGGGGTTGAGCTCAGATCCTTGTCACAGTGATGGAGCCTGAACTTCATGACTGTCTGAAGATTTGCTGGAAGAAGTCTTTAACTGCTAATTCAGCCAGGCAGGAAGTACTAATGAATGAAGTGGGCCTAGCTGGAGCCATCATGACAGGGTATACTGTGAACTGAATGAGTGACTTTAGAAGGCTATCCCCAAACAATAACCCTGAGCAGGCCAGCCAGAACTGATTTGTGGAGCCTTGTGTGGAGCACATACCTATAATCCCAGCACTTGGGTGGGGGGCAGAGGCAGGAAGATCAGGAATTCAAGGCTAGCCTGGCTACATAGCAAGTGTAAGACCAGCATGAATTACACAAGGTCTTTTCTCAAACAAATGAGCATCCCCATTGATCTGTGGGCTGGAATGGGCCACTATTGGGGACCCCAATGTGAGCTAGGTAGAGAGAAAACAGACTAGTACCTTGACCACCTCCTGCAAGGTCACTTCTGCTTGGTCTTTCTGCCTGGTCACACTGGTCACTCCTGTTGGCTTCTCTGTGGTGTAACCTCCCTTTGTTCCCAAGTCCTGTAGAACCCAGGGCTGCCCTAGAATGCTAGGCAGTGCTTGCCCCAGCTTGTTCCCCACTGCTGTTTCCTCTGCCCTTCCTTGGAAATCATGGGCTGGCAGGTGCTGGTCATGACCCCAGTCTACTTCCGCTTTGTGTGTTCTCTGAGCTTCTATCCCTGGAAGACTGCTTTTGCCCTCAGCTTCCATCCCTGTCACCCCCTTGGCCCCTTCTCTCTGTTGCTGAATACTGGCCATTGAGTTCTCCTGGAATTTCCCTGTCTTTGGGGCTCCCTCCTCCTGGTCTAACTGAAGCTCCTCCCCATGTTGTTTCCAAGTGCTCTGGGGGCAACTGAGGGTCCTAGAATCTTCTCTCTTCTTTTCTGAAAAGGTGGGAAGATGCCCATGTTGCAAGGAGGTAGGGAGGTCAGGTAGGTGGTCTTCTCTGGAAGCATCTTGTAGACAGCTGGCTTCATGGATATGCAGCCCTTGTAGCTGTTCTTCAGAGCATCCTACCTGCAGAGAAACCTGATCTCAGCATTGTCTCTGACCTGGTCCATGAGAGGATGAAGCCCCAGGCCCACATGCTTGCTCCATATTGGATTTCCAGGTCTCCCACTGGAAAGTCATCACAGCAGAGAGACTCTTAGCAACACCCTATGGGATCTCCAACTCCCAGTTGAGAAGAGCAGGTGTCTCTGCACCTCCCCTCCCTGCCTCCAGCTTGTAGGCTCTCCCTCCTTCAACTGGGTCTGCAGCTCTTTCCCTTTGAGTATGTCCACCTTCCCTTTTCATCCTTCTTCCTGAACTTGACTTTGTATTTTGGCCTTCTTATCTGTAATATGGGAACAATAATACCTGTTGTGTAAAATAGTGATAGAATCTCAAATAGACCAAAGCCCAGCCAAGAAGACTTTTGGGCTGGGGTTGCAGCTCAGTGGCAGAGCATGTGCTTAGTATGCATGGCCTTCAGTTTGATTTCCAGCACATCAGGGAAAAAAGGTTTCTCTGTGTTCTCAAGTTCGTTTGGCCATGTCTCCAGCCTACAGCCACCCCTTGATACCAGGGGAGTTGGCTCAGGACCTCAGATAGATGCCAAATGTCTAGACACTTGAATCCATTCTATAATATAGTGCAGGGTTTGCATATAACCAATGCATACCCTCTAAATCCCTTTTACATGACTTAACTACCTTATATAGTATAAGCACTATGTTAATAGTTATTATGCTGCCTTGATTGGGGAGCAACAAGGAGAAAAGAATCCACACATGTCCAGGACTAATGTTATCATTTCTTCTAAATATTTTGTATCTGTGGCCACAGATGTGAAACCCACAGATATGGAAGGCATGGATTGTAATGTGTTCCTTTAAGCTCTGTCTCTCTGAGAGGCCTTGAACTCCTTCAGGGCAGAGACTGAGTCCTAACGGTGTCAAGTTTTGGTGGATGGAAACTGGTGGGGCTGAAAAATGTGCTTGTGGAATGACTACCCCAAGTGGCCACTTAGAAGAACAGAGCCTGAGCTGGGAGCCTCCAGCTGAACTGCACTAGGGTTGTCTCAAGGCAGCTCTGCAGGAGGCAGGACAGGAACCTTTGTTGCAGTTAGTAAGGGGCAGAGCTGTGCTGTGAACTGGGCCATCTTAGTCTTTAGTCACTCCCTTAACCGAACCAGAACAATTTGAATGCATCAGCAGAGGCATCTTTGTTGTTTTGTGCAAGCATTCATCTCCCTGTGACCCCTCCTCCCGGTGGCCCCAGTGCCTCCTGTAGATGGCACTGGTGCTCCCTGTCTTCCTCATCCCACCTCCCCAGGAACACAAGTGCTTTTCTCCTCTGCTCTCACAGTCTTCTGTTCCACACACTACTTCCCCCTCTGTCCTTTTCAGCTCTCTGCATATCCAGGGGAAGAGGCCCAGTTACTGCTTAATTTGGGAGACCCAACAGATGGGCAAGAAGCAAGTCACAGTGAAGGCAGTGCCCAGGCACCTCCTTTGAGAAACCTTTCATCTTCCTGGGTCTTTTCCCCTGGGTTTGGCTGGAATTGGAACAGCGGGACCTGAAACAGAGAGGAAGGACCCCTTAGGTCTTTCTCTAACAGTAGGCCAATGGAGGCCATCTCAACTTTCTAACCACCCATTCAACCCACAAGGCTTCCTGCTTCCTACCCTCTCACCTGAATGTTTCCCATTCTCCATCTAGCCAATCATCCCATTCCCTATCCATGCATCCATTCATCCCAGCATTCCAACATCCATTCACCCCATCTCCTTCCACCCTGAGCAGCTAGCCAGTTTTTTTTCTGTCAGTTGTAGCAGCATGGGCAAACCCGAAATGATACTTGAGAAAGAGAAGGCTGGAGAAGTAGAGACAGGGAACAAGAAGGGAAGGAGGGAGGGATGACTGGGGTTGGTTGGAGACTGAGCACCCCCTCACTCTGAGAACATGGGCCAGGCTCCATCTAGATCTGGCCGCTGCAGGTCCAAGTTGAAGGCAACTTCATTGAGGGCATAGAGAGAATCCAAGATGTCTTCCCAGAGCTCAGGGCACAACAGAGGGCTCCGGGGGCCATACCATTCCCTGTGTGAAGAGAGACCAGCACCTTTGGACACTGCCACTCCTGATCTCTAGAATAAGCATGCCGTAGGGGACTTTCCAAGGCAGAGTGTAGCTGGGCTCAGCCTTGGAGGGTAGAAGCCCAAGTATACCATACTGCAGGACTCCTGGACCCTTTCCCCTTCTGACACTCATTCCCTCATCCCTGATGTTTTGCTATCCATCTAGGGGTAAAGGAGGGAAGTGGCTAAGGTGTTGTCGTTGTCTATGGGACGATGGTCTGGCAGCCCCACCTGGTGAGCTCTGGGCACAGAAGGCACAGCTGCAGGGACTCGGCTAGCTGTCCTCGGGTGAGGCAGAAGCGGATAAAGGCACGTCCTTTTCCCAGAGAGGTCTTCAGCTGCAGGGTGTGGAGGGGACCAGAGAGGGTGGGATCAAGTTGGTGAGCTGGGCCAGATCAGAGACAGTACAGATGAGAACATGAGCAAAGGAGGGGTAATCCTGGGGAGGGAAGGAGTGGCTGGAGGTGAGGGCAGGACACAGGTGAAGAGTCTTCCATCAATGGAGCACAAACGAGTGAGGCAGGGGTCAGGGGAAGACTTGTGTCCCTGCCTCTTGCCATTCTTCTCAGGTGTCAGGGTCCATCTCCCTTTCTATCACCTGGTCCGGTTACCTTGTCCTGTGAGCACACGAAGCTGGTCTGTTCTTCATACCCCCGCTGCCGCCGCAGGGCAGTGAGCAGGAAGTCCCAGTAATCCTTCCGAGCCCCCAGGAAGCTTCTTTGCTCTTTCTGGTCAAACTAGGACCAAGATGAGGGAAAGGAATGTGTGCAAGTGGTTCCTTCTAGAACATACGTTGCATTCTGGCATGCTAGGAAGGCACACAGGAAAGGAAATGGCTCCTGTAGACAGGCCTTGTTTCCGGAGCTGGCTCTGTTCCTACTGACTACTTGACTGGGAGCAAGATCTCTCTGTGCATTCTGCTCAGTCACAAACTACTGAGCACTTACTATAGAATATAGGCCCCATTCCAAGGCGCAGAACCACAGCAGTGAGAAACTGACCTCACAGAGCTTATATCTTGGTAGGGAAGGTGGGCGGTGAACAAGTTAAATACTCAAAACATACAATCTGTTAGTGATGATAGAGGGAAAAATAAAGCAAAGGAAGACAATAGAAAGTCTCCTCTCCAGCTTGGAAATTTAGCCTGAGGAAGCCTCCAGACCTGAAGGCCATGTGAACTTACACCGTCCGAACTTTGAGGAAATAGCAGAGGGGATGGCAAGGGCAGGTGCAATCTTGGTGTGCTCTGAGGAGACTGGGATGGTGTAGCACACTGGCGATAAATGAAGTCAGAGGAGGAGGGTGCTTATATGTGTGTGGGAAGTTCATCAAGCACCTCATGGAGAGGGAATGAAGAGGGGCAAATGAAGGACTTAGCTTGACACATAATAAGTGCTCAACAAAGAAAACAAACAGATCCAACAAACTAGTGATGATTAAGATTTGGCTCTAATCAGCAGCATGCAGGTCAGTCCTAGCCTCTAGGAGACAGGTTTGATGTCAGGAGGGACTTGCTCACTGAACAAGGAGGTGGTACCTAGTAACTAAGAGAGACAGAGGCTCAGATCTGTATCTGAGTTCTCCGGGGTATCCATCCAGAGTTGGGACAGAGTGAGGAGAGGGCTGGGGCAGGGGAGAGGAGGGAAGGGAAGGTGGAGGGTCCCACCTGCAGTAGCAGTTCCAGGCAGCCACAGAGTCTGTGCAGCTCAGCACTGGCATCTGTCACTGGCCCCTGCCTGTCCCCATATCCCTGGAGAATGGCAGAGACAGCAGCTGCGAGGAGGATGGAAGACAGCGGAATGAGGGCACCAGGCCTCCGAGGGAGACGCTCCCCAGACCATTTTCTGTTCCTGCAACTCAATTCTAGAAAATCTTGTAGGACACACTCACCTTTCAGGTCCCTGGTGACCTTGAGGCTGACCCTCTCATTTGCCATGGAGACTTAGAGAGAAGCGATTCCCTTTGACCCTCTGGGCTCAGCTGCCCACTCTCCTTACGTTCAGGTGGGATCAGAGTGTAGTCATGAGAGGGAGTGAGGACATACCACGGTTACACAATGAGTTAACTGGTGGGGTGAAAAACAAACAACTTTCTTCCTCCCTTCCTCCCTCCCTCTCTCCCTTCCTTCCCCAGTTACTTTTTCTTCCGCAATGATAAACACCAACTTGGGGAGGAAAGGGGTTTATTGCATTTTACATTTCTGAGTGACAGTCTATCTTTGAGGGAAGTCAGGCAGGAGCCCAGGGCAGGAACTGAAGCATAGAACACAGAGAAATGCTTCTTAAAAAAAATTATTTTAGGTGTATTGCCTGTATGTATGTATGTATGTATGTATGTATGCGCACCCATGTCAGTCAATGCCCGAAAAGGTCAAAAGAGGACATTGGATACCCTGGAACTGGAGTTAGAGGTGATCGTTAGCTGCCATGTGGGTGCTGGGAATGGAACCCTGGTCCTCTACAAGAGCAGCCAGTGCTCTTAACTGCTGAGCCATCTCTTCAGCCCCCAGAAGAATGCTTCTCGCCAGCTTGTTCCCTTGGCCTGTGCTCAGTCTGCTTTCTTATACAACCCAGGATCACCTGCCCAGGGGTGCCACCACTCACAGTGGGTTGGGTCCTCCCATATCCCTTATCAGGCCTAGTCCCAGCTCTACTTCTGGGACTGTTCTACTTCTGCTGGCTGTACTTGAGGAACACAAGTAGATCAATCAAGAAAACGCCTCAATCAAGGTAAAGCAAGAAAATGCCTCATAGATACGACCACAGGCCAATCCAATAGAAATTTCCCAGTTGAGGTTCCCTCTTCCCAGGTGTGTCAAGTTGACAACCAAGCCAACCATGATACTTTCTGTCTGTCTTTCTTCCTTCATGCTTTTGGAATAGTTTACTGAGTACACTGCAAGAAGCCCCAGTTCTTTCCTGAAGGCCAGTGTGTAAAGATGTTAATACGGTTCTCGCTTACTGGGCCAGGGACCCTGTCCCTTCTTTGGTGCCAGGCACCCTGCTCACTGCTGACACCTGTGTCTCACTCAATTCCCACAATACCTCTGGGTGGGTATTAGCTCTATTTTATACAAGGTGAACTGGGGTGCAGAGAGTTAGGTAAAGATTACATCTGGTATCACAAAGTTACAAGTGAACTCGGATCTGCTCACTTGTCATGAGCCTTGTCATGAGCAGAATGCCTGTGTTATGTGGATGCTGCACTAGAGGACTGTCACCTCCTTTCCCTGTGGATAGCCCTGAACCTCAGCTGATAGTGACCACTGTGAGACCCACATTCATCTTTTCCAAGGCCCCAGCTGAGTGGAAAATGTGTGTTCCTCAAGTACAGCCAGCAGAAGTAGAACAAGGGTGCAGAGCTGGGACTAGCCTGATGCTGGGTCTGGGAGCAGGGAGCCTGGTTTTAACACTACCACCCTCTCTCATGGGACCCTACTGTCCTTTCAACAGGCCGAGGGGTTGGAAAGGGACACTGTGGTCTCTGGGGGCTGGTAAGCTTAGGTTGGGATTCTAGTGTGGAAGCTAGGCTGAGTGAAAGTCCAGGTATCCCACCTCCCAGGTAGTAGTGGTGGGGTTTGTGGGTGGGGTAGTAATCTTGTAGCAGTGGGTCACAGGAGAGGAAGGGAGAAGGAAGAAAAGGGAGGAGCTCAGGGGTTGGGATGCATGGAACCCAGGGCTAAGAGTCAGAAGACACAGGGCCCATCCTGGACTGCTACTTACTCATTCTGTGTCTTCCAGCAAGTCACTCTTTCTTAGGCCTCAGTTTTCCCATCTGTAGATGAAGGATTAGACTGGAGGTCTCTGGGGACCCTTCAGGATTCTTCTACCCCTGTCCCCAAGCCCAGGGTCTTCTCTGTTCATCTGAGAAAGCCCTGCTGGTTGGAATGTGGAGAGGAGGGCTCTGCAGTCTGAGTGTGTCCCTTGTGACCATGGGTCCTGCACAGTCCTTCCCAGTTGTCCAGCCTGAGGAGTGACTCAGGCCCAGCCTGGAGGGGGTGGGACCAGCCCTAGCAAGGGCACTGGGGCAGAATGGGTGGATCGCTCAAGCCGACCTTGAGATAGAGTCACTTGGTGGCCAAGCAGGTAAGTACTTGCTCCTGTCTTTCTGTCTTGTTGCCAGCAGATGGCAGAAAGAGGCTGAGGTGCTGAACGGCCTGTTTCTCCCGGGCTGTGGGTTCTGTCACTTGGCTGGAGATGGCACAGGTGGGGAGGAAGGCCAAGCGCCCTGCCCACCAAGTACTTCCTCTCTCCTCTACCCCTGCCTGCTGCGGGGTCCCTTAGTGTTGGGTCCCAGCATTGGTACTCCCTCCCTAGGAACGCAAGTGAAATGCCTAGCAAATGGCCAGGGGTTGGGGCGGGGTGGGGGGGCTGTTCAGCTGGGGTGGCATCTCTTGATGGCCACGCTTCCTGATGCTCAGGTCATCCTTTTCCTAGGCTGGGCTGGCCTGGAGGGTGGTCCTGGAGACTGGGAACCGAGGGGCAAGGACCTGAAAGAACTACTTTCACAAGCTCAGGGAACAGCCTGTAAACAGGGAACACAGCGATGCTCTCGCCTGCGGCTCTCTGCCCGACTCCCCGGGCCCCCCAGCCTCTGTCCCCAAGGTCCGCCTACTGTGTCTGTTTCCCAGTCGCTCTCCCGTCGCGCGCTCCCAGCTCAGCCTGTGCCAGGGACCCGCCGCCGCCCCTCCTTGCGCCCCCGCGCCCTCGGGTCCCCTCCCCATTGGCTGATGTCACCGCCCCTCGCCGGCCCCGCACTCCCTCTGCCTGGCCCGGCCGCGGCGGAGGCGTCCTCGGACGGGGCGGGCTGGGGGCGTCACTCTCCCGCCCCACGTCGCAGGCGCCCTGGGCCGAGCGATCACCAGGGTCGGGGGCGGGCCGGCTCGCGGGGTGTCTGTGTCCCCGCCCTGGGCCCACCGGGCGCCGAGCCGGATGGGCTGCACTGTGAGCCTGGTGTGCTGCGAGGCACTCGATCCCGCGCCCCCCTGCGGCCCGCAGCTCCCCGGGACCCCGCCGGGCCCTGGGCGGCCAGAGCGCTGCGAGGCCGGGGGTGCGGCGCGCGCCCAGAGAAGGCGGCTGCTGCTTCAGGTAGGGCGCTGCGAACTGGGTGCGGGCTGGGTGAAGGCTGGCTGCCGGCAGAGAGTCCTTGGACAGTGGAGTCCTGAAGGTGTGGATCGGAGTGTGGGACCTGGCTAGGCAAAGGGTTCCCTGGAGATCACACCTGGGCTTCTGGTGCCCCCGGACAGAGGGAAACTTAGAAAGGCGAGTCGTTGTGGGACGTGGTGGCAGGTCTGTGATCCAGCATTATGGACACCTTGTAATCCAAGGCCAGCTTGGGCTAGTTTCATAGTGAGACCTATCTCAAACAAACAACCTAAAGCCAACCAAAACCTCAAACTTCCCCAAAAGCCAAAACAATCAACAAACAAAAACAAACATGAAGAAATAAGGGGGTGGGGGTGGGAAGAAAATGAGAGAATATTTGAGATGAAATTTGGGAGCTACCCAGGGGTGCTGGGGCGAGGGGGGGAAGGCTAATCCCTTTAGCTTGAGAGGGTAGGAGTGGGGGTGGGGGTGGGCTGTCTTGGGCTCTTCCACCAGTAGGGAGGGGGTGTTAGAGCCAGGAGAGCCCACAGCTCAGTCTAAAGACACTGGTGGGACCACCAGATCCCCTTTCCCTCATTTACACTCTTTTCTGGGTGAATCTTGGAACCTGAATGTGGGAAACTGACCAGGGGTCAGAGCTGTGAGCAGAGGCAGGTGCTTACTGTGGGTAAGCCATCTCTGTGGACCTCCCAGGTCTGGCAAAGACTCTGCATTTCCCTGGGGGAGAGGAGGTGTTTGGTATTTAATAGGTAGTGACTGGCCAGCTCCACTCCAGCCCCTGCAGGTCCCCAGCCTCCCTCCCAATTGGGGCAGGGGAACAGCTTCTGGGGATTTGTGGGCTGAACCAAGCTCTGGATGAGGCTGGGGTCTTACTCTTCTTCACCAAACTCTCGCAGGGTCAGGGTGTCTCCAAAGTACCCTGCAGCCACATCCCAGTCCCTCATCAGAGGCAGCAGGGAGGCCAGTGTGGCTGTTCAAGCCTGTGTGCACTTGTGTACATGAGTGTGTCACATGCCTAAGAGGACCCTCTGTCTCACTTGACTGGATGTCCCTCCAAGGGCACAGATGATGATATATTTGTGGTTATATGCCACAGTGCCAGGCACAGGGCTGGGAACTTGTAAGTGGAATGTTCTATTCTGCAAAGGCTGTAAGCGGTGACTGGACATGGTAAGAGAGGGGCTTGGGGGTGGAGTTGTCCTCTGGGTCCTGAAGTGGCTGGTGTCCTAGTTAGATTCTCATGGAGCCCGGGGGAGGGCTGGGGAAGCCTGAGGTTATGCACTGGACACACCACACTACTGGTGCTGGCAGGGAACTGAGGTTGACATGACAGCACTCTTAGACTGTAGGTCCCTTCGAGAATCATTAGGATTCCCCCACCCCCAGGCTCAGAGCCTTATGATACTCTGTCTTGCAGCGTGACCTGGAGAGTTGAGATGACTGTGGCCTCCCCATCAAAGAACCTGGTTTTCCCACAGAGAAACTGAACTATTCCCTGGGATTTGGGGTTGGAGCAGAGGGCCCTGGAAGGCACCTTGGACTCCTGGGCCCCCAGAGTATTCCTGTTGTGCTCCTCTAGGCTGAGGCCCTCTACTTGCTTTTTTTTTTTTCTTTTGTTTGTTTTCTGCTGCTTTTCAGATATGTCCCCAAGCCTTTTCTGGTCTCTGTGCCTATGGACTCAGGCTTCTATACCCGTCCCTCGCCCCGCCCCCCGCCCCAGCAGCCAGCCTTGATGTGGGGTGGGGTGCTCACTGGTCTTGTGAGCAGGGGCAATTGTAGTTGGGATGGGGGAGGAAACGGGCACTGGAGGTGGGTGACCCAGGGGAGAAAA